AAGAGCAAAGTAGAGGGTTGTCTTCACCTTTGAAAAGCCTCCTACATAGTTGGCCTTGGCATCTTGCAGGAAGGAGTAGGAGGGCAAGGGTTGAGGACTCAGGAGTCTGGGTTTTCAGTTGAGGTAGAGCAGGAAGACAGTGGTTATAACCAGAGTCCAAAGTGGGATGCAGTTGCCTCCAGAATGTGTCACTGTTAATGCAGCCTGGGCTTCATGACATAGAAATGGATTCCTTAATAACAAAGTAATAATACAGTTTCCAAAAGGCGCTATTTTTTCTCTCCCTCTCTTTTTTAATGTAGCTTCAAAGAATCTTCAAGATGGGATCAGATCACAAGATATATAGGTGTAAATGCTTTTTTCTTTTTAAATTAGAAACATTTATATATCTTTAAAGCCTTAAAATACAGAATAACCCTAGGGATTTCTTCCTCCTTCTATGGCCACAGCTCTCATCCCAGTTCAGAAAACTGATACTGGCACATAATGGTTTAGAATAGGCTGCAAGGGCTATGCAATGATCTCTGTGGGAACAGAAGTCTTACAGGGATGGTGGAGGTGGGTGTGTCCAGGAGGCCTGGTTTTGGCTTGACAAAAAGGGTTCAGGGCTTCTTCCCATGTTCTGCTTTCGCCTGATCTCTGGACCCCTAAACAGATGGTGGCTCAGCTCTGTCAGATCCAGCACTTGCCTTTTTTATAGGAAACACCGTAATTCCTCTCCTTTACTATCCTGAAATGAAATTCATAGATAACCTACTAAAAACGTCTTAACTATCATATAAAAGGGGAGAAATAGAGAAAAGTATTTTATTAAAATAACCTGTATTTAGATAGCTAAATGCTTGGGCACACTGTCCTACAAAATACAGTGGAGTCAGATGTTTACACTTGTATACAGAATCACTGGGACTGCAATAGCTACACATACACGCAGATAAGAGTGTTGTATTAGAAACTCAGATTCTATTGAGTAGGTGTCACCATTGGCAAGAGTTTTATGAAATGAACAATTTTCGGTAATATTCTGAACAAAACACAGTATGAGCTTCCCCAGACATACCCAGTATTTGGAATTATGGAAAACTGAGGAGTATATGAAAACTGATTTTAAAAAGAACCCCACAAAACTTACTGAATACATGTAAATGGAGTTAGATTCTAAGGTAGGTTTTTCTTTGTTGTTAAGAATCAACCCAGACACTGCAGGACAGCTAGCATCCCTAAGGGCTTCCCCGGCATGAGTATGGAGTCCCTCCCCCAGCCCCACCCAGGACAGTATTGCCTCCTTTGAGAACAAGTACTCTTAAACAGTGCCTTCCTGACAGCCCGGAGGCCATTGCTCTGGGGCAAAGGCAATGCTGTCGCCTCTACCAGAAGTGCCAGTGCCTATGGGGTCTCAGCCTTCATCTACTGTGGAGTTAAGAAAGGCCCTGGGTTTTTTCCTGTAATGAGTCTGGTGACTTTTAAAGCAGGCCAGGCTGCCCTATTACATCTTTCTAAATGCTCTTTTCAGTAAGCAAGCATGTTTGGGCAAACTGTAGTGTTGAAATGAGGAGCCTAGACTTTAAAAGGCAGTATTTTGAAGGAGCGCCCTTGGAAAGCATTACTCCAATTGTGGTTCACACTGGATGGTCTGTGTACTTAGGACCCTAAGAAAATCATTATAATTATAATCATGGCTCGGTTAAAAGTTTTGTTAAAAATAATATAGTTCACATATGGACCTGGAACCTACCTTGTACTCCAAATTACATTTCTAACGATACATAAACAATTTATAAAAAAAGAAAAAATAGGAATAAAAGTAAAACAAATTGGGTGGTAAAACAGAGCCAGGAATGAAACACTTTAACCTACAGTCTCACTAGGGACGGTACACAAAAGTAGTTTCTAGAGCCATACAGTATTGTGTTGTGCATTCCAAGACATCTTAAATTTACGGAAATAGGGTGGGTGTAAATTCAAATATCATGAAAAACTCGAGAGTGAGAAAGTACTACTTTTCAGCACTGGCAGATTAATGGCAATTTAAAAAGTTTGTCCATTTACATTACCTTTTAATATGTAAGTAATAATGCGTTTCTCCCTCACCGGAAATCCCTTGTTTTATTTTCTTCCAGAACATTTCGTGTGTCTGTAGGGCTTTTTTTTTTTAAGTCCAAGGTACCATGCACATAGTTGGCGCTCGTTATCTTTTTCGACAACTGGAACAGTTAATGCTGACAGGTTTGGAAATTCCCGTCTTGAAAATGTATACAAAGACCACACCTGCTAAGCATAGCTGAAGCGGGATTTGGTGTGCAGGTGTGCTGGAGACTTCCGCCCTAAAGGCGGCCCGTGCCGCACTGGGACCGGGGCCGGAATTAAACCTCCCGCCACGGGGTAAATGCGTGTGTACGCAGTGACGTAGGCGTGGCCGCCCCTTGCCGGAAGTAGCTGAGCCAAGGGATGAAGCCGGCCAACTGTGCTTCCGGTCATGCGGCAGAGGTCAAAGTGAACCCGGAACCAGAACCTCACTCCAGGAAGTAGCCTTCAGGGAGGACACCTGAGTTGTGGCGTCTTTATAGGGAGCCGCGGAAGTTGAGGGTATAGACCAATGATGGTAGCCCCCGCAAAGGCCCAAGCTCTGCAGGGCTCTGGCCGCCAGAACCCCGCGGCTCCCCTCCTTCTAGTGTACGCCGGCACCGCACATCTTCCCTCGGTGGTGCGTGCCGCAGGTTTGCTAGCTATCGAATACGTTTGAATTAAAATTAAGACTTAGCTCATTTTGCCAAGTACGTGGCAGACCATCCCAAAAATTGAGCAATAGCTGCAGCTGCGAGGTTTTTATGAAACAAAACATAAGGCCAGTAATGATATCCGTAGCAATTCCAGCTACTTAGCTGTCAACCTAAGGTGCTAGGCAATGACATTTTTCACAATTTCAGATACCTGAGAAAAGGATGAAGGGTACAGTTAGGACATCTGACAAGCTCTGATGTGCATATATGGGGGGACGTCCTTAACCTTTTGTGTACTTTGTGGTCCCTGGAGAGGCAATACCAGTTTGCACCTACGGGACACATGAAAGCTTGACACTTTCAACAAGTTTCCTGTCCCAACCGTGGCACTGGTCACTCTCAACTGAAATCTAAAATCAAAATGTTTGCCTTTGGATCCAGCCACTCATACTGGTATGTGTCCTTCATTTCGGGTGCTTTACTAGCTCTTTTTCCCTAAACCTCACCATTCCAGACCTAACCATTTTGTGGTCAGCCCCACAATCAGGTAACCAAGTTCTGCCCACTTTGTCGTCTGAACCCTCCTTTTCTTGGTCCTGGCCTCCATTCTTCCACTGTAGCCCAAGTCCCTGAACTAGAGCCTCTCCAGGCTCACCTCCCAGATAACAAGTCCCTTGGCCTAACCTTTACAAATTGGTTTCCTAAATGCCCGTTTCTTCTTCCCTCTGCTCGGACCACTTTCCCATTAAGTGCTTCACACCATGGTTTAGTGATTCCTCCTCTGCTGCCATAATGAATTTACATAATGGTTATTAAGAGTCAAAAAGGCTTAATGCACGCTTTCCATTTTACTTAATCCCCATGATCTTCAAGTAGGTGCCTCCACCTACAAAGAAAATTGGGCTAAGCCTAAGTCACAAAGCTTTTAGGTTTGGATTTGACTCTCACACTGTACATTTCTATACCTTCGGTGTCAGTAAAGACTCAAACGTTCAATCAGGTCTTGTAACTCCTTATCTACTGACCACTTGTTTTAGATCCATGGCCTTAGCTTCCATGTTTAAGTCCCCAGAAAGACACTCCCATCACTTCACCTTTCCTCTTCAGCACTATCATGGAGATGCAAATCCAAACAATCGTTATTGGTTTGTTGAACTGAATAAAGCCTTACTGACATCTCTTAACTCTCATTATTTAAATCAATTAAGTCCCCCCAACCCTGTGCTTCCTTATATGATGGTCTCCAATATCATCTAAGAGTTGTCATGACAGACATGTCCTACAGGAACCCATGGTTCCCAACCCATGTATGATCCCACAGAGCACTAAAGGAAACAACTCCCCACCAAATCCAACCCAAACCAACCACTAGGTTTTATTAGGTTTCAGTGCTAGTTTAACTGTTCCTTTGCCCAGGATTCTAGACTCCAAGTTTTATTTTGGGTCAAAATTTCAAAATCTTTGAAAGACCTCTAAAAACTGTAGCAAATTATAATTAACACCTGGGATCAGTAAGGACCCTGTCTGCACACAAGCACTGATCATCAGTTTTTTGCAGCAGATACCCAGTTACTGGCCTTTAGGATACCCCACATGTCTCTACTAGATACACCAAAGATTAGAAGAAAAATTGGTAGAACTTCATTTCTTTGAACATAAAGTTAAGCCTTCTATACACAGGGACCCTTAAATCCTGACAACAGCTTTCTATAATCCAAACCACTTTGAAATGTAAAAGCCCTGGTATGTTTAAAACTCAAGACTGCTGGGGCACATCTCAAGATTCTGATTATGACTAGAACAGTCAGTCTAAAGTCCAAGGTTAAGGGAGCCAGGTGGAAATCCTTAGGTTCAGGAATTATATCCTGAAAAACCACCTCAGTCTTGTCACTCGGTCCCTTCTTTAGAACATGACCCATCAAATTCCTCTAAAGACCATGCTCCATAGGAACTGAGTCATCCCCTTGTGAGCCCCCAGAACAGTTAAGGGCACATTCTTCTCATTGTAAATTCAAGAGTATACAATGCAAACAGGCCTTTCAACCATTCTATATTTACCTACACACAGACACCACGCCCACCCCCACCTTTATAAATGAGACATTCAAGTCAGGTAACAGCCTAAGGCCTCTAAGTGCTGATGGCTATCTTTTGCACACTTTCTTTCCCAGGGGAACTGACAGAGGAGCCCAGATCCTCATACCCTGAACTAGAACCTGCAGGTTTCTGACACACAGGCAGAAGTGCCAAAGAACCTACACTCAAGACCAAAAGACAAAAGCACTTGTGAGAATTTAATGGATTCCCCTCCGTGTGGCTTCAAGCTACCAGCACACAAGCCCCACCAACACTCTTAATCTTCTCCTCAGCTCTTCTGCTGAAGAATTTGGCTTTCACAATGACAGGCTGCTTTGGGAGCCTTCCCTTCCCCAGAACTTTGTAGTAGCCCTAGAAGAAGAGAGAAAAGGGTTATAGCATACCATGGCAGGTACCAACTTCCTAATGGGTATGAGGAAAGATGCCGGACAACCCACTCCACCAGGGAGCTGGGGAGGCCATGTTTCTGATCTGGGCACTAACCGGGGGCACTGACTGCCCTCGTCAGTGAATCAAGACCAGCAGATTCTCTCCGAGAACTGTAGCACACCAGGACAACAGCTGTCAGGATGTGACTCTAGTCTCGGGCAAAACTCAACCCCCCCAACCCCCCGCAACCAATTCCCATCTAATAAGCAAAAAAGGAAAACCACATTCCCTGCAATGTTCCAAGAAATTCTGACCATCGAAATTGCTCAAGGGATGTTAAATAGGCTGGGGAGGGGAAAATAATACTTTAATGAAAATCCCCTGAGGCTTTAGACTACTTCTACATCCATGGGAGATTAAGACGGCTAACAACGACCAGAACTCCAAATGATATACCAAAAAACACAGACAACTTGGGTGGTTGTCTTTGGGAGGGAAGAGGGTCCTTTTTAGATAATGTAGGGCCTTAAATATAAAACATACTAGGGTTTTATTCTGTAGGGAAAGTGAAAGCTCAACAGCTGTGCCCAGTGCAGACCTGTGTAAAAACAGACCACAACCAGCTGAGCTAAGATAGTGCCAATAGCTCAGGTGAGAAATGCAAACATGCACAAACCATGGCAGTAATAGCAAAAATGAGATTCCTGACTGGAAAAACATTCAATTAAAAATGTAGTACCTGAAAGAATGAAGAGTGGAAGGGATTACTTTTCAAATACTTCGTTGAATCACAACTGACCTAGAGTTCAATTTTGGTCAATGAATTACCCCTGGAAATTCTACCAAAAGGTAGAACATCTAGTAGGGAACTGCACAGCCTTCAGGTGGGAAATCAAGTGGATGAGAATACTCATCTAATCTGAGGAGAGGTAAGGACCCACATAAAGGCATAAACATTCCTTCACTCACCGATCGCACCACATCAATGATGGGAGCGGCTCCGGTCTTGTTCTTCGCAGCATTTACCCGTGTCTGCTCACTGACCAGGGTCCACAGTTTATCAAGGTTGACAGTGGGGCAGAAGCTCTGGTTCCTCTTTAAGTGATAGTGCCTCATACCAACTTTCCCAAAGTACCCTGGGTGACTGGGAAGAGAAGGCAACCACTTTCACAACCTCACTCCACTTGAGAAGCTATGCTTTCCATCTTTATGTCCATCTCCCCAAGTACAGTGTAAACTGTTAACTGGTGTAGAACCACGACACAACATACCCCACTCCATTTATTTGTTGAATAAATCAAATCTTTATAAAAAGCCTACCAACGACTTTCCGGAGGAAAAGAGTAACCTTATTTCACGGAACCAGGTTAAGTCACTGAATAAGAAGAGATCTTCTAAACAAACAGTTAAAATACCATCCCCTCATTTGTGGGCATAAATGAACCTAACAGACACATAGGTCAATCTGACGCATGTCACTAACCTGGTGACTGACTATGCCATGGGGGTCCAGAGTCAGTGAATAAGGTCAGCAGTTGCTCTTCGAGGACTCTAGCACACTAAGGCAATAGCTGATACCCAAGCGTGACTCTAGCCTCGACGACAAGTCTTCTCAATTCACATGAAGTGTTAACGTGGTAAAAACCTCAAACAGGCAATGAGAGACTTGCTTCCCATTCAGAATGTTCAGAGCCAGCCTCCCCCCGACCCCACACTCCAAAACTGTGCCAGTTAAATACAGTCCAAGAAGCACTCACTATTTGTCGAAGTTGATCCTGTGGTGATGCAAGCCACCGGCATTACCTCGGCCCCCCGGGTGCTTCCTGTGCTTGCCTATAGGATTACAAAGCTACATAGCAAAGAGCCTTCCCGGTCCAATTCTCCTCCCAAAAGCATTCCCCCACGTCTCAGTCCTTGCTTATGCTGTTCCCAGTCTACAAAACCTCTCAGCACTGCTTTTCCTTCAAGACCCCGACTTGAACGTATTTTTGCAGCACTATCACAATACTCCACGCCTTCACCCAATACTGTGCCCCGCTCCACCCTCATCCCCCGAACTGATGTGATATTCTCTGTACCTAGAGCACTACAAGATTCTCAAAGAAAACGGCCCAATCCGACCCGACTGCACGAAGCTCTTACCAACCCACTTCTAAGCTCTCTACCTTCGACTACCTAAGCACCAGGCACGGAGAGCCCCAGGCCGACCAGGAGGGAAAGCCGGCACTTACCGATGCGGCCGTGGCCGTGGCTCACGTGGCCCCGAAGTTTCCGGGTCTTCCTCAGTCTGGATGGCTGTGTGGAAAAAGACGCTTGGTGATAAGGCCTAAAGGTGGGGCGGAGGGTGAAGTATGCCGGATTGTGAGAGGATCGTAGGCCTGAAGATCAAGGATCTGCCTTGTGGTTCATTCAGCCATGCTGGGGCTACACACTGGCCAGGGGCCCTACGGCCTCATCCGGACGCCGCGGCCCGCGCGTCTCAGACACGCGAATCCCAGGCTGAACACGCGGCCCAGAGATCGGGGCTCACGCCGGCGCCCTCCCTTGCTGCCCACCATGGGCGACCTGAAAGACTAGGCTAAGATCGAGGGTAGGTGGGTGGGCTGCAGAGCGAGTAGAGATCACGGCCTGCGATACTAGTTAAAGAAAAGCACGAGAAGAATAACCTACCATGTCGGCGGCCGAGATGCAAAAGGGAAGCCTTCGCGAAGTCTCGCGAGATATGGGACGCGTGGGCGGAGCAACACCTCACTTCCGGCCGCGGAGACCGGGTCCAGGGCGTGCTTGGGGTTCGTCTGGCTGGGAGTGGCGTCCCCTCTTTTTGCTGCAGGTCGTAGGCGTCGTCCCTGGGTTGTCTTTAAGGCTTTGTGGCCGAGAGCCGTGCTCCGCCCAGCCTGTCGTGGGCACAGGCTCGGAGGCTGAGAGTTGTCGCGGAAACTGAGTGAGCTGTGGGCCGGGCCCTTTTCCTAACGCCACGGCCTAAGTACCCTCCGAGGCCACCGTATCTTTCAGACCCTCCTCAAACGCTCCAGCTGTGAGCTGCACCCCCAGCTCGGCCCTGGCTGTAGCGATTGTGTGCTAGCTCCTTCCCCGCCCCGGCCACGGTGAGGAGCTATGAGGCGCTATTTATTTGACCCTCGTCGTACCCACCCGGTGTCTTACTCCGCTGCCTTTGAAGATTTCCTCTAGATGTCTTTACTACCCTCTCGGACGGCTCCCCTACACTCCTCTAGGGGAACTGGGTTTTCCTTTCTTGCTGCCTTTGTGCGGTCCTCCCAGGCTTTCTCATTTGGAACCTGCGGTGCTTCAGGGACCTTTATGCCTGGCTGCTTTACAGCCCTTTTCATCCACGCTTTGTAAATTTTCTAACCGCCACATGTAAATTTTCACCTGAATTTACCTTGACACGCCGGTGACTCCCTTTACCCCTTGGATTAGAGAATTCCCCACTCAACCTGGACCCAATCCAGGCGTCTCTGTGTAGCTTCTCTGAGCCATTCAGTCATAGTTGCTCCCTTGATTTGTGCACCACAGAATCTCTTACATAGCTCTTACATAATTGTTGGTCCACATTTGTCTTCCCTACTAGACCAAATTCCATAAGGACTCGAGGATTATTCTCTTTTATCCATGCACTTCCAGTTCCTGGCATGTAGTACGGGTTCAACAAATGATTAAGTGAATGAATACACCTACCCTCACTTCTCTTTTTTCACTTGCTATAGTGTCTTAAGTCTTAACCAGTGGTCAAGATCCCACTCCCTCAGTGACTCAGTGTGTATGTCATTTTCTGTTTTGTTTTCTTAAGCTAAAATACGTTTTAGCTAAAATATGCTAAATTCTTCCTGACTGTTTCTACCCACTACCCATTTTCTGTTTTGTTTTCTTAAGCTAAAATATGTTTTAGCTAAAATATGCTAAATTCTTCCTGACTGTTTCTACCCACTACCCATTTTCTGTTTTGTTTTCTTAAGCTAAAATATGCTAAATTCTTCCTGTTTCTACCCACTACCCTTGCTCCTTTACCTTACATAAGAGTAGTCTATGGATGCTGTCCATGTGCTTACTCCCCATTCTCTGTTTAATCCATTGCACTCTCACTCTCAGCCCCACTCTATGAAAGAAATTGTTCTTTAGTTTGCTGGGTAAGTGTTTTCCTACCTTATAAATAGACTCACACTCCAATTAATACAATTAACACTAGGTTTATAACAATTTATTTTAACATACATCTATGCTGAGTAATGGATATTAAAGCTGTTTGTCTTAAATTTCCTTATGTCTAATGAGAAAAATTAATTTCCCTTTCACCTTCCGATGGGTGGGTAATACTAATGGAAAAATACTCTTCAGTGCTACTGTAGGACTTAGGGGAACTTCTCCAGTGGTATTATAGAAATCCACTGAAACACCATTCTGAAACCCAGTGTTTCTTTTGTTGTGGCTTTGCAGAAGAAGAGCCTACACCCAACTCTAATGTTCTCTTTTTCTCAAAAACAAAAAAACCTAAACAAAATGGTAAACATTTATTTGAAGTTAGTTTTCTGGTGGTGATATGAAGGCCCTTCAAGCAGAGTTCAGGAGCTCCTGTATGGCTGCCTGATTCTCAGGACTGAGGTGCACTGTGTATTCAGTCCGCAATCCTCCAGAAGTCTGTACCTGGCGAACATCATTAGCCAAATGTTTGGTACAAGGATCTTCATACCAAAGTTATCGATTAACCGAACAGCAAATTGAATGGATTTGTCCTATTCTTCATACCTCTTGTTCTCTGTTATACTTTACCCCTTTGACTTCTTTTTCTAGAGAAATTCACCTTCCTCCTATCTTTCTGTCTCTTTCTCAGTCTTCTTTTCAGGTTCTCCTTTGTCCACTGTTCAACGGTTCTTCAGCCTCCTGCCCTTGTGCCTCTTTTCATGGTACACAATCTTCTTGGGTGAACTCATCTTGGGTGGCCTCAATTCTCATCTCTGTTGCTGAGCTTTACACTCATATATTCACTTAATCTCTGGTTCATATCCCTCAGATATTCTACAGACAAACTAGGTAAATATATCCAAAGACATCAGTCTTCTGGGCTTATATGTGCCTTCTTTATACTTTGTCCACCACAATGATTCAGGGAGACCTAAAATTGTCCCAAGCCTTGTTTTCCTCTAATACACTGTCACCATATCCTCGTACCACTGCCTGCACTAAGACCCTCATCCTATCTCTTGGGTACAACACCCTCTGATGACCTTGCCTGTGTTCTAACTCTCCTGCCATCCCACCATCCATAATACCTCTGCCACGTTAATCTTCCTAAAACATGACTTTCATCCTTTCACTTATTTGATCAAAAAGTTCAGTATCTCCCTGTTACCAGCAGAATATAGCCCACTTACCTTTCCACCCTTGTTTCAGCCTCTTCGCTACACAAGCCTTCTACTGCAGCCAAACTTGTACATCTCTTCTGTATTTTTGCCTGTGCTTGTTCCATTTCTCATGCTTTGGAGTGTTCATGCTCTTCTTGAGCATATATCCTGAATCTTCCTCAACCTTTAAAGCCTACCTTATAATATGCTTCTTTTCAGAACATTCCGATCTACAGTATTAATAGGCAAAATACACCTTGCAGTTTACAAAATGCATCTTCCTGAGAAGTCAACACTATCAACCCCATTTTATGAATGAAAAAGTTGAAGCACAGAAAGTTGAGTGACTTGCCAGAGGCTATATATAGAGAACCCAGCCTTTAGTTGTCTCTTTCTCCAGATCCCCTGCTTTTCCTATTCCCTCTCTGACCTTACAGCATTATGGTCTTTGTCACTCCTTCAGTCCTCAATCACATAGTGCCTATGACCAGCAGAAAGAGGGGTTTGGAGGGTGCAATGCAAGGTCTAAGAGATGATCCTCTGTTGACATCTAGACTAGCCAGGAAGTTTATAAGGGATGAGCTGAACTACCCTGGACAATGTTCTATGAATTAAGATAAGCTGGGCAGAGCTTTGGGAATTAAAGGTGCCCTATTACTAGTACCTGAAGATTGTCCCGGGATGGGGGGCTGTGGGGGAAGGGTTCTGGGTGATGGGACATCGTTTCTGGATAGTTTTGCCAGGTTCGTTGGTTATAGAGGAGCTACATCATATTTGTCAGGCCACCTGGCTGAATGGGAGGCCTCTCTGAGTGGGCCAGCACTATGTGTTGGGTTCTTTGTTCACCTAACATTCTTCTTACTGGTTTGGTCTCCAAGTGTCTGCAGAGCTCTGGTTTCCAGCCAGCCCCCTCTCCTTTACAAGATCATCATGTAGCTTAAGCAAAAGGCACATGTGGGGTTTGTCAGTATGAGTCAGTCTCCCTAGGTTGACCAGCTCTGGGACAACAAACAAAGTTGAGTTCTAGGTCTGCAAAGTTGAGTAACCATTAAGTGACCTGTCCCTTCCTGTCGGGCACACGGGGCATGACCCCTGAGAGGCATCCTCCTTTGTGACATCTCCTCTGAAATAGAGTATGACATTGTGTGCCATATGAGGCATCTGGGCTCTCCCAGAGAGCCAGGGCCTCAGAAATACCTGCGAAATGAGCAGAAAGGAGATGATGCCAGGCAGCAGCCTGGAGAGGCAGGGAAAGGTGGCACTGACTTTTTAGCTACCCTGTGCCTCTTCCCCGGTGGCCTTGTGAGCACACTGCCACTCTGAGAAGGGTCCTGGCGGTTCCTCTTTCTTCCTCTCCAGAGTTCATCGGCAGTCCCAACAATGTGGATGGATTCAGCCTTGTTTTCTGGCTCTTCATTTTTAGATTTGGACATTTGGAAATACAATATTGCTTTCCTTTTTCAAGTAGACGATTGTGGATTTCAGATGGGAAGAGCCAAAAATCTATTCTAAGTGAGAATTAAGAGAAAAACTTAGAGATCCAAATTTGTTTCAGAAAGATTTTAAATTCTTTTTTGTAATAGAAAAGACAGTAAAACATTTAAAAATTTTTTGAAGAAAAACGTAAGTATAAACATCTCAAGTCATAACACCCTACAATGCTGTTTCATGTCTGAACATTACCTTTCAGCTCTCAGGTACATGGAGACATAGCTATCTGCAAAACTGATGATCATAGTATACAAATCTCTTTGTATTCTGCTTTTCATTTAATGCTGTGACATTTTTCTGTGTCACTACCCAGTCTTCATGATTATTTTTAACAGCTAAACAGTAATTTATCTTTAATATGTACTGTAACTTACTAAGCCATTTTCTCATGTATTTTGTTTTCATTTTTCTCTTGTGTTCTTTGCTATTAGAGACAATGATACACTGAACATTTGTATGTATATGTAATTTTTTGTTCTATTGAATAACTTGTCTAGGATAAATTGCCAGGAGTGAGATTGCTGGATTATAGGATATGAACATTTTTATGATTCATATTATGTTACTATATATCTTTTCCAAGTGGAGTGTATCAACGTATGCATCAGCAGCATGTATAGTTTCCAATTTCCACTACACCAGATTCAGGGGTTTTGTTGTTGTTGTTTTTATCAGTAGTTTTCAATAAATGGCAATATGGCTTCTAGGGGAAAATCCATAGGCCCACAGGGTTTTCTTCAGCACAGATGAAAAATAATATAATTTGAGGATTAGGAATTTATGAGAGTCCTTTCTGGGCTGGATACATTTTTTTTTTTAAAGTCTCATTGTATTACTTACATGGGTAAGTGCGTTCCGACAGCTAGGATAGAAAACGCTGCTGCCATTAAACTCAG